TTTTTTTTTTTTTGCATCAATTCATCGAATAGTTGAACAATTTCAATGATCTTTTATTTTTCTAGGATATTTTGTCAATTTGACTTTCTTATACCCTTTGTTTTCGTGCAATATGAATTAGATTTTATTTTTTCTTAAATAGAGTCATCAAAACACTCCATCCATATTTATTTATTTTTTCGCAAATAGTTGCATGAATACCTAGTCTATCCAATCTCTATAGTTACATCTATCACCATTATTACAGCTTTATATTTCTTGGAGCAGAATTTTATTATTTTTGGTCGGTCTCCCACTCCTCCCTAAGCTATGCTTCCCCGGCGCAGGGCCTAAGATCGAGCATCGACAGCCACGAAACAGTAATAATTTATTCTAAAAATAATAATATATTGCAATCGTTTGTGATTCGTTTCTAGATGCAATTGGAAAAGTGTCAATTGTACAGAAGACTGGGTTCATTAATACAGTGAAGAATCAGAATAAACATCTTTTGAATACAAAACAAAGGGTACACAACACAACCCCAACTACAAACATGATGAATGAGTAGTAAATTAAGAATTGAGCACCCCCCACACAACAGATATCATCGCAAATCAATGACGTCAAATTTCAAACTAGGATTCATGAATACATCTGTACAATGTCTATATATGGGACTACCATCCGAAGGAGGTTCGTGTGAATGAAACCCACGCCTTGGGCATTGCCTAATCACTGTCATTCCACCTGAGGTCAACCGGAATATGCCGTGGGTTCTGAATGCACAAAAAAATGCAGATTGATACGACTGTTAATAAGGTTTTCAACAAATGAATATGTATATAGTCAAAGGCAAGGTTCAATGAATCAAAGTTGAACACATAACCTTGAATTGTCCTTTGGTGCCATGACGATCGCGATAGATTCTGGTAACATCATCTGCCCAACACATTTTCTCTTCAATATGTCTCTCGATTTTCAAGTATTGGTATAGTAATTATAGTGCTGACAATTAATGTAGCACACCAGAAACTATGTGTAATAACGAGATGTAAATGTATTCATATTGTATTTAGAGTGTACATAGTACACTAACGGAGCATTAAGAATCTGTGGGTTGTTGGATTACATAATATAAATACATTATGCCTTGATACTAGGAACTAAACTACTTGTAGATTATGGTACAGTAGTGTTTAAACATTGTCATATAAAATTAAGGTCCGCAGCGCAAAGAGAAGTTGCTGAGAATTGAATTACAAAAAGAAATTGGAAGGGACAAGTGAAACCACGAGATGTGTAACATTATTAATAAAAAGCAAGATGGAAAGTTTTACATGCAGCAAAGTTGCAATAAACTGCTCGTGTTTGAAATGGGTTTGTTCTATGAACACTCATATGTAAATTCTTAAGCAGAGGACCGGGGAAAAATATTACTTCCCTGCCCATAATGTGTCACATGACAACACTCAACATGCATGAGTGGGCCATGATATAGAATCGGGGCGAGACGTGCGGTCCCACGCAGGTGAATCGCACCATAAGAGAGTGCGTCTTGGTACACATAGTGAATATCCATCCCAAAACCAATTAGTGATGGGAGGAGTAGCCACTAGTAGGCTTGTAAACAAATCAAATTTTTTTGATTCGATATTCGAATTCAATATTCGTGATTGGAATTCAAAATATTCGGATTCGAATACGAATAATGTTTTATATTCGAAAGTTAAACGAATTTGAATTCAAATTTGTAGATATTCGATTCGGAATTCAAATATTCGATTCGTTAACAATAAATATATGAATTTTATAAATTATATATTGTATGCGTTTTGTTTATAATATATATGTATATATATTGTTATATTCCTACTATTTTTATGAAATAAAAAGTAAAAACATCATAAATATATGAAAAATAAACAATATTTTTTGTAATTATAATATTTTTTTAATTATAATTTTTTTTTGAAAAAAATTTCGAATCGAATATGTTTGAATATTCTAAACGAATCGAATACAAATCAAAAAATGAGTTCGTTAACGAATCGAATAGGAATTCGAATCCATAGCTTAAAATGGCGACGCCTCGAGGCGAGGCGACCGAGGCGAGGGCCACTTCGCCTCGCCACTGCCTGAGGCGACCCTGTTCGTGAGGCGCTCGCTTCAGGTT